TAAACTCTATCTAAGGATAAGTATACTTCTACTTCTACTTCTACTACTATATTTTCTTTCTAAAATTTAATATAACCCCCGTAGCATAGAGGGGAAATAATCTATCGATATAGAAGAATAGGATCTAAAAGAGCGCTTAAGAGGTTATTAAAAGCCCTCTCTACCTATACTAAGAATTAAAGCTACTATATCTACGTTTACGTCGCGATATATTTATAGGCCCCTTGTACCCTTAGTATTCTAGTAAAGCGATATACGCTAATAGAGACTAGACCTCTAATCCTAACGAGACGAGGCGTTTTAATACTTAGTATATTCTAATTAGGTATAATAGTACTACGGCTCGCTTAAAGCGCTATACTAAGCCTCGGCGCTTTACGTGTTACGTACGAAGGGATAGAATTGTATTATATCTGCTGTGATGGAGAGTAGGAAAGGTAGATTTCCTTTTCCAAAAAAAAAGAAATACTTGTGGTTTTGATAGTATATTTACTTTTTAGGAAGGGCGGGTTTAGTAAGGTTAAGTGATAATTAGCGGATAATAGATAATCATATTAAAACGTTAGGCTTTTTTATTATTATAGTATAGAATATACCTAGGTAGCTCGGGAAGAAATAGAAGAGATATAAAAGTTACGCTCAGCAAATAGAACCATATTCCATAGAATTCTAGGTGGAATATTCTATGTAGAATACTTCTAGAGTACTTATAAAATAGAATAGAATCCTTCTATTATAGTAACTAGGCTCTAGAATTCTAGGGGTTCTATAGATTTCCAGAGGTTTTTCGAACTAATTAAAATACAGGATTAATAAGTAATTTTAGAGTAAATAGAAGGAACATTAGGTAGGTACTTTCTTAAGTACCTAACACGTAGTAGACAAAATAAGCTATAGCTATAGCTATCGACGTAATATATTTTTAATAGGGCACTATGATATGGGTAGTCTAAAGCTAAATAGGAGCTTTCGTTAACCAATAACAGGACCGGAGTAACGTTTTTTCCGAGTTATGTGATATTCTATCTAGAAATTCGGGAAATTCTATAGAATAGATACCTCGGGAATGGAATGGAATACTTCTAGCTAAATCCTAAAAGGAATGGAATTATTTTAGAGGGGGGTCTGGAATGGAAAGGAATTCTAGATGCCGAACGTTGTGTAAAAGGGGGTTTTTTGATTTAGAATTTTGGATGTTAGATATAGAGGTGGGCGTGGGCGTGGGCGTGGGAGGGGACGGAGGGTGGTTAATGAGTAAGAATATATCTTCCTTCCTTAGAGGCTTAAACGTTAGACATTAGAGCTTGGACCGTAGAAATTGGTGAGATTTATATCATATTATACTATATTATACCATATTATATCATATCATATATCACGAAAGAGACTCTCTAATTCTTCGTTCATTTTGAATAGCATTCTTAATGGAAAGTTTAGATAGATGGATATACGGGGATGGACCTCTGGTGTCTTTTTGACAAGATGGTAATTTTGTATTTTCTAACGGTGTAGTAACTTTGGTTTAGTTGTTTATATGGGTATAGGTATGGGTATGAGGAGACTTGGGTTTTGGATGGTGGAACTAGTGATACGGGAGATGGCTCTGGTTTTTGTCTAGTCGAGATTCATCGGAGGAAAATGTTATAGAGAGCGTGGGGATTTTATTTGTTATTGGATGGCTCTTGGTTATTGTGAGCTAAGCAAGTACTTTGAGGTTTGTCGGTGGAGGTATGTATATATATATATAAATATACATCCGACACTAGTATTGGTACCAGTGAGGAGAATTTGATTGGCTCCTTGATGATCAATTGATTAATGGATTACTAGGCTGGAGGTTGTGATGTTTAGAAAGACTGAAAGCTACGCAGATCCGATGGTGAAATAAAAAGGAATATAAATCAGAAAAAACAAATGAATATGCGAAGTCTCAAACTCAAACCCCGCCACATCGAACGCGAAATGGGAAGGGAAGGAGTGAGTAAGTACTTTCAGGAAGTACCGTAGTTAGGACTGAGAGTAATATCATTTTCTGGTTTGAATCTCCGGAGGTACGTAGAGTAGAGTATGGGAATGATAACCATGCAGATGACCCAAAAAGGAAAGATAGAAGAATATGTGAAGGCTTTCGTGCAGAGTCGTCTCCGGGTGTAAGACGGCCAACGCAGTCATGCTTTTTGAACTTAGCTCAAGTTGGAATGGAAAAGAGATGGTGGAAAACATGTGATGTGATGCTTCGATATTCTTGGGGTGTTGCAGTGGCACTGCAGACAGTCTTTGCACACGTTTTTCTTTTTTTGCTTTCGTGCTTTTTTTCTCATTGAATAGATTTTTCGAGTCGTCTTTGGATGGAGATGATGTATGGAAGGATGGTTATTAAGTGGAATGGGAATGGGAATGGAATGGTCCCCGAAGAGGAGAGGTCGGTCGATCGTATGTTGCTTCGAATCATCATCATGAGAGCATGGAGGGTGTCGATGACGGCAAGGACTGGTATTCCTAAAAGGAGTAAATCGATTCATATAAGACGTGAGGTTAGATTTTCCCGTCCTTACTTTACATGATGTATGTGAGGTCCGGATCACAAACATACGTGGCACGCGAGGAGACAGTTCATTCGATGAGTTGTGGCTGGATATGATTGATGGTAAGCAGGGCGTGGCTAAAGGTTCAAGCTTTCCGTCGTAGAAAGATCAAGAGGGGTCGGACTTATCATGGGAGGATCAGGCTTGAGAAGGGGAAAATAAAGCGAAAAATATAAGAAAAAACAAAATGGAAACTCAAGAAAAGTTCCGGTGTCGAAACTCACACCTTTCCAAGCTCTCGTTGTGGTTGGATGAAGTTTGCGACGGTATTTCCGGTACTTACTGCAATATGCCGCTGCCGCTCCATCGCGTGTACTGAGTGGAGGCAAGCAAACCGATAGGAATGTGATTTGTTTTTCGCGTGAAATCTTTAATATAGAACATAAAAGAAAGTGGCTGCCTCTCTGGTAGAAGTAGTGACGAGAAACCGATTAATGATAGCAGTGAATCATTTCCGGGCAACAAGGCAGGCGAGGACGTAAAGAATTACCTGGAGGGCGCCTCTTTTTTCACCCCACCCCACCTCACCTCCACTCCAGAGTCAATAGAGTCATGGAACCAAAGGTCGGATAGCAGCAAAGTTAAGATTTTTTTCTCGTATCGAGTGAAGTCATCCAGTCCGTCATGGCCGGACGGCTCAGTAATGGATGGTCGGATACTGAGACTGTATGGCGAACGAGACGTCCAGCGCTTAAGCCCAAGTAGCGGCAGCCATGATGCATTCGTGGTCGGTATGAGTTGGTGTTGGTGGACATTTCGCCCAATACTACCCTTCTAAGTAGACTGGAATTGACTAGAGTAGACTAGCTTTCATTAGCCAACCGCGGCTGCTCATCCTGACGCGGAGAAATGGCGGCAAACGAGGGTGTAGAAAAGAGAGGAGCCAGTCAGTAAAAGCCAATGAAGAGATGCCATCCCGAAGCCAAAGCCCATGCTCATGCTGCTTCGGGAATCGGGATGGTTGTGGAATGACACTGCATTGCACTGAACCCAGGCAAGAGTTGGGTGAAGTGTGTAAAGTGGGAAAGTGTCAAAGCATCAGCTTCTCATTCATCATTCATTTCACCTGTCCCCTCCTCCAGAAACAGAACTGCTCGCCTTTGCACCCCACCTGCACCCAATACCCAATAATACCTCCCATCCCCTCAGCGAGTGCTCCTTCCTGAGACTGTCTTTTTTCACCCCCGGTCCAGTTGGCCACAGCAGAAGCAGCAACAACTGGAACACTCTGATATGAGGGGTTCCTCGCTCGGCTTACTTGGTCTCGTAGCTTTCTCCGACTGGTCCTGGGATTAGGATGGGAAAAATTGACTGGCACCGACAAGAAGTTCCAAGTTTGTGATTGATCCAGAGAGTTTTCCAGCAGCATTCGGAATTCCCAGTTCACAAGTCTTCAGCCAAGAAGAATGTTAGACCGGATCAGGAAAACAAGCTTGTCGCTGGCCTTTGGCAGCGGCATCTCCAGCTGCTTCAAAGTTGGGGTTATCCACTACCTTATCGATATGGATACCTTGCCGACCGATACCGATACCGATTAGGCCGATAAGAGGTCCCCACATAAAACAGCTGGAGCCGGAGCTTGGAACTCCACTATTCGGTGACGACAGGTGATGATGAGAAGACGAGATGGAGACGGCGAGAGGTGAATGTGAACGTGAAGGATGAGAACTGGTTGTGTTCTTGGTAAAAGTGACTATATTAAGGACTGGCCGGCTGGGTGCGACGGAGAAAAGAATCCGGAGCTTCATGAAGTGAGACTGGGACTGAGACTGCCTACTGGTACGAGTCCATTTATTAGTATTTGGGGATTGTGCCAAAAGCATTGTGGTCATGCTCGTCTAGGTCTACCTACGTCTACACCTTACACCAAGATATAAGCTTTGGTTCTCCGCGAGCTGCGGACTGCGGATAGTAGGAGTTTTGTACCTAGCCTAGTAGGGAGGTCGTAGTGGCTGTAGGTAATGGTAGCTGTAGCAGTAGCCGCTCCATGGTGATGTAATTTGTATACTCCGGAAATGCACCTATGTACTATACCTAGAGCTTCCTGACTCTGACTGCATTGCAGCAGCGGGTGAAAGAAAATGACAAGACATTTTGTATAGCCACTATTGCCACTGCCAACCACGGCCACTGTCACTGCTGGGAGGTGCACAATTTTCGTAATTCACAGATGAACTGTACCTACTGTACGGAGTACTCGAGTACCTTCAGTTCCAAGGTTGGACCCGAGGCTATTAGTACTGCTACTAGTACTGCTACTAGTACTGCTACTAGTCTTGCTAGTACTGCTACTAGTACTGCTACTAGTACTGCTACTAGTCTTGCTAGTACTGCTACTAGTACTGCTACTAATACTGCACTGCTACACCCTGCCTCCGTCTCCGCTTGCTATCCAACTCTCGCCCTGCAGCTTACCCGGCCCTCGCTCGCTGAGTCTGAGTCTGAGTCTGAATCTGATTCTGATTCTCGCACATGATACATAGTACATGATACACCATCCTGTACGTAGAGTACCAGGCACAGCACAACACTGCGCTGCACTCCACCAACCCGTAGGTCAGTACTCGCAAGCTCAGTCGGGCAGGCACAACGACCTCGAAATACCCAGATTGGCCTCGCTCGTCGCACCTTCTTCGCCATCAGAGTAATCTGCCTCGCCCTGGACCTTCCGGTGCATCACATCAATAATATCGGATACACTTCCCCTTCCCCTTTCCTTCACCACACCCAAAAAACAACAAATTATCCCGCCATCTATTAATATTCACAAAGGCAAGCCGGAGCCTCCCTTCCCCCTCTCCTCCTCTTTGCCTTTCCCCTCACGAGTTTCAGCATTTCGAGTGGGAAGCCGAACGAACCACTCATTCCGTACGGCAGCAGATAGCAGTGCGCGACCTCAGACTTTCCTTACGGGGGATTGCCGCAAATAAACCTGCGCTATTTCATCCACCAAGTCACACCTTACCCTCCCCTCCCAGATCCACTGAGACTTGGGATCCGTCCCATCCATCACCCCCTCCCCCTCCCATCCACTTAACTGCGGCCCTCAGCCCAACGCCAACCGCACCACCACTACCCAGTCGAGCCAGTCCAGCCANCCCAGATCCACTGAGACTTGGGATCCGTCCCATCCATCACCCCCTCCCCCTCCCATCCACTTAACTGCGGCCCTCAGCCCAACGCCAACCGCACCACCACTACCCAGTCGAGCCAGTCCAGCCAGCCTGTTTCCTTCGCCCCAACTCCATCCCCTTCTTCCTTCTTACAACTTCACCACCGCGTCGACATTCTCCCATCCGTAACAATCCGAACCATCGTGGTCTTGAGAGATCGCTATTATAGTCGGCGAGCCTTCCCAGTCCATCACCAACACACGGGCTCTCGCCAACACACCACTCATCCCCGTGTGCCGCCGCTGCCCGCCACTTTCCTCGAAATCTAGTTAATCACGACCACACTCGATCGGACGTACAAGAAGTCAGCATAATTTGGAAGGAGTCGGCTGAAGCAAAACTGCAACTTCGCAACTTCGATCTCAGGATCCGTGGGTGCGGGGTTGTTCACGATGGATCAGATGGATTACACCATGGAAGACACCCACGCAGGCCGTCAGCCAAATACTACCCCTCAATGCCAATACCAGCCCAATTTGAATGTGTCTCCCCCTCGTGAGAACCCCCACTACGATCCAGTCCACGATTCAACTTCATGGCCTCCAAATAATTCCTCCTCCCATGCTCAGTCTCGATCATCTTTTGGGCAGCCACCCACCTTTTCACAGTGGGAAACAGGAGGACAATATGCTCCGCTCCACAGTTGGCAGAATCATAATGAGTTGCACCAAACTCCACAAGCCAACTCCTGGGAAATGAACAGCGAGAGATTTCACAATGGCCCGATGGGTGGAATGATGAACTCGCCTTGGAACGAATTACGACCTTTCGACTCGCCCATGACTTTTGGCTACCCACCATACCATGCAGCCTCGTCCTCAAACAACAATAACAACACTGCTAGTAACACTGCTGCGTCAAATCAAAGCAATGGAGGGACTTCTTCGCGAACACCCTCAGCACTAGCTCCAACTTTCAATCCACTCCAACCATTATCCGTTCGCGAGACCGCCCAGCAAATTCTCCAGCATGAACTCAGTCGTTCGAGACCAGCGAGAACGGAAACCTCAACTCCGTCGTCCTCGCATGCTAGCTCTCAGACCAGCCGGACTACCCATTTTTTGGCAACCGAGGAATTAATGCGCAGCAGCCGTCAACCTGAACATAGACCTGGTAAGCATCTTACCCTCAACCCCCATTTTGGATGCTAATCATAATTGAAGCCTACATTCGAGCCAACCGAACCAGAAGTGAGAGATGGGGTGAAACACCTGCAAGACCGCTTGGTTGGGATCCTTCTGATGACGAAGACGAGGGAGAACTCGAGGCAGAGGCTCGTCGCCAAGATGCCGAAATTTATCTTGCGGCGGGTCGTGCAGAAGCTGATCGTGCCATGGCAGCCTTGCGTGGTGCGGCTGCTGTGGCTAAGAGAATACCTTCCAAGGCAGCCATAGCCTCGCTCGAGACCCTCAAGGCAGAAGATCTCAAGCCTGCTGACAAGAGTAAGTATACCCAGGCACCACATCAAAGACTGCTTGTTCATTTTTAACGAATCACAGCTTGCATTATATGTTACAATGAATTTGGGATAGCCAATCCAGAAGGACTAACTGAGGTTCCCCTTCGCTTGCCAAAAGTATGCAACTTCTCCTTCCGTCATTTCTTTGGTTCTAGCGGTGAAAAGAATCATTCATCCTCTTATTTCGAGTCGAATTTCTGGCACTAACAGGTGATAGTGTAAACACATATTTGGTGACTTGTGCATCAAGAAATGGTTCGAAGATTCGGATAGTTGTCCGTATTGCCGCGACAAACTGCCAGCCGAACTTTCATTTAGCAAGGCCATGGCTTCGCAAACTGCCAGAGCGCACCGAGCTCATTTCATGCAACATGCCTCTTTTCGCACGACCAGAGGTCTTCCTCCTCGCTATCAGCAGTATAGCGAGGAAATGTCAGCAAGGTAGGAGTCCGCAATTTTACACCGTCTCTTAGAAAAATGACACTAACCGCTTTCCAGACAGTCCGCAGGCAGCTTGATGCCTCGTCCAGCAGAAGAGCCCGATTTTGCGATGAATCGAGCGTACCAAGCATACGAAAGTGCTACGAATAGAGCATCCCAAGCAGATTTCGCCGAAACTAGACGACGCCAGCAGTCTCGAGGACGAAATGGGAACAGCAGAGCACCTCACACCTTACGCCCAATGTCCGTTGGTTCCTCGCGATTCCTCACGCTCTCCATGAACCACCCAAACAGCCAACAGCGTAACCAGACTCAAGGTCACAGCTCATCGGCAACCATCCCTGCTACGAGCAATCCCCAAAGAGCATCTGCTGCGCTTGTTATGGCCCGACAAACTAGTGCCAGCGAGGTTCTCGCCACCAGTACAGCAACCACTCCACCGCGAAACCGACCATCGAGCAGTTTCTCATCTCCCACCGAGGAACCTTCGCCTCCTATCGCAATGGGATCAGGCGAAAGTACGAGATCCCATCGAACTCGTGACATGAGCGGAAGAGACTCTTTGGGCATGGTTGACGATGGATGGATTATGGGAAATCTAGCGACTGGCGAGCCACGAAGTTCTTCACCAGGAACTTCCTCATCACCTCCCAGAACTTTCACGGCAGCTAATTTTACCTTCCAACAGCCACAGTTTGGTGAATATAATAACGGTTTATCCCGCTCAGATTCCTCCACCTCGACCTCGCAAGCAAGATGGTCGCAGTAACCTTGTCAACTCGAAAACGTAACACAATGGGTTTTCGACATCTCTTTTTATTATCTACTTGGTCCATGTTACGAGAACAGTACCAAATTGTCCACCAGGACAAGGCAAGCTTTTCAACACCAAGCAGGATAATCCACTCATCCGCCAATACTATTAATTTGCAACTCTTTTATATTCAGGTTTGGATGGGTTAACGCAGTGTTTTTTATCGCGCAATTGGAGTAGGAGCTTCTACTCAAATTAGCTTGCCCTGATGCGGGAGTCGGTGGGGTTTACGTTAATGAATGAATGGAAGGGAAGGATGGCGAATTATTTACGCTGGAGTGAGCATGAAGATCGAATGGTCTCTTTACTGCTAGTCAGCAATTTGGTACCTTTGGGCTTTTATTCCTGGTTTTTCTTTCTAGATAAATTTCCGAGAGAACAAAAAAATTGTGAAACCTTACAAATGAATAACGTCTATTTTTGTGACGGGTGTATTCGCTGTAGATGTTTTGATATTGTCGGTTTATAATATTGAATGGTTATTAGCTAGCTCGGAGCGTAGCTACTCCTCCGGGACTAACGTTCTCCGCTCCTTTAGGACTAGCGTACTATGTATGGTATCTATAAGGACGTAGGGACTTGGCTACACTTGCTTGGGTTATTACCTCGGTAGTATATATAGGTCTTTATATTACCTACTTGACTGAATAAGTTTCAGTAACAGATATCTATATATATATATATATATATAAGTGTAATAAGAAGACCTTGATGTACTCGAGTATTAAGAAGCGAAAGGATTTGAAAGGTAGGGAGGGAGGGTACGTGGGTGGTATAGTAGATGTAGGACATGTAGTGGGGAGTGGTTAGTTAGTAGTGTTTGCCAAGATAATTTACCCCTGGTGCCCTGATGGGAAGAAAGATTTAACCGAGAATCAGCTGCACCAGCTTGCGACGTTTTACGGAGGTAGATGGACTTGATTGAGTTGATTGAGTTGATTGAGTTGATAGGTGCACTTGAATATTTATTCAATTCAATGAAATTCACCTTATAGCTATAGCTTCTATGAGGACCGTTTTTTTTATTTTTTTAATCAATTAAAGAGTGGAGATTTGGATTATGGATGAGTTATGATGGGGAGAAGTGGGAGAAGTGGGAGAAGTGGGGGAAGAACGGGAAGGTGAATGGGAATTTTGTTTTGTTTTGTTTTGGGGGAGGGTGTGTGATGTGTTTTTGTCTTTTTTTAGGGAGGGAGGGGAGGGGATGATATGTGATTGCTGAACCTAGATCTAGCAAAAGGATATCCCGTATACGTATGATAGAAGGTATAATAGAGTGATGGAAAGGGAAGTAAGGTAAAGGAAGTCTTGGGGAGTGAATTTAAGAAGGGGGGTTTTGGAGATTGGGGATTGGAGGGTGTGGAGAGGGAGGAGAGGAGAAGAGGAGAATGTGAGGAGAATATAAGGAGTATAATACTTGTACCAAGTCGTTAGAGATAGGTGTGGTAGTATTAGTTTTAGTGTCATTATAGTAGTGGTTATAGTTAGAGGTTTAGTTACTTGAGTTGGTAGGTTTTTATAGTTACTGTTATTATAGTATATATTTCTTTCATAAGAAAATTCGTTTACAAGGATTAAATGATAGAATTAGTTAAATAGCTTTCCGAATAGGTTGGGATCTTTATTAAGCCGTAGTTTTTTAGTTTAAGTATATTTAAATAAGTGTTTTATTATATTTAAAAGGGTAGGGTAAAAAACTTTTATAGGATATAGAAAGTAAGAAGGTATTTTATGTTATATAAAGAGTTATTATAACATTCCTCTATTATAGATACTCGATTTATTATATTACTCGAGATTTATAGATTACTAGGTAAGAGAGCTAAAATACAATTCCAGTAACTTATATTATAATTTCATCGCGATCGACGAGACAAGACGATCTACGACACTTAGGACGCTCAGTATTGCGTGTCTTGACTTGATTTGATTTGATGCGATCTGAAGTCTCGCCCTCTGTGCGTAAGCCTCAGACCATCAAGACCCAGATACCCAGATTCATGGCTGCAGCAAAGAGCGTCGCACCTTATGTCCGAAATTATCACGGACGGATCTTTAATGAAGTCGCGATGTTGGAGCACCAACTTGAATACCCAAGCGTGGGCGGGTAGCGGACACACTCTTGAAGTGAGACCAGAGAGTACACTAGGAGTTTAATTTGTGATTTCCACTTGTTATATTACTTAAGAGTAGGTAGATACGGTGGAAAATCAGCTTCTACTGCAGCCTTTGTTGCCTCGTAAATGACCGGCTCAGCTGCTAAATTCAATGCAAGATCTATCCTCCGTTTTTGGTTAGTCGCTATAGTCCCAGTACGGGCGGCTTTCTCGCAATACACGCTCACTTCGAGCGCTTAGTACAGTTAGGAACTTAAACTCGATAAGTTAGATTGCATGATAAAACAGTTGTCAGAAAGCTCAGAACAAGAACGGGTATAAGAACCAGCCGCGTAAGTGGTACGAGCCTCTGAAATTCAGCGAAGTCCACGAATAATAAAAAAACAAGTTAACTCGGTACAAGCTGTACTATACATACAGTCAAGCCAGCACAGTAGGACCCGATAATGGACTATACACCACGTACGCTATACCGACTTCCACCTTGCGAAGCATGTGACTCTTTAGATCTTTCCACCAACCTCGAAGTACCAAAACACCTTGCCAAGACAACTCTCGCTTCCCGACATTTCTCTTTGTCGACACAATCAGAGTATAGACCGAGCCAGTAGATACCCTACAAAGCACGCCCCTTGACAAACTCGCCTTTCACTTGTCAGGTACGATATTCAGATATGAGAGGCTTCGGTTTTCACCCTTTCGACCCCAGGGGAACGATAACACGTGGAGGACTTGGAAAGACGTGGAGGAATAGACTCGCTTTGCATTGCACTTGTTTCGGGATATGGAACGGACATTTTTATTTGTTTGGGATGGGATACATCGTATTGCTTTGGATTTAGTATAAATACTTATATATGGGCAAGGTACATGATGGAACCGGTCTGAACACTCATTTGGACTTATGTTTAGACTTGTATGATAATAGCATGTGCTTATATAGAGCCACCGATTTAGATTAGATGTTAGTGATGTTAGTTTCGGAGAGACCGCTGATAGGTAGAAACAAATGCTGCCTTTATATATCGCCAACAAAACACAAACTTGACGCTTGGGTTTGCTTGACCAAATGAGCCAAGTTATTTTCAGTTCTGGGTGTGAGTCTTGTGTACTTGTGTAGTAAAAGGCTTGGGGCTTGGGGCCTGGAGATAGCTTCTTATACTAAAGTAGACGTAGGAAGTTCCTTAATACTCGATGCCTTATTATTCAAATTCTATATCTTCCTAAAGGGGATGTTTCACCAGAAATAACCCGGCGGTTTTGATTCATTAAATTGTGGGCGTAAGACGATGTGAACGGCCGAGCAGAGGATTGAAATTACTGTATATTCCCTTCTCTGGATGACATTCTCTAAAGAGCTGGATCCTACTTCGTGGATTAGTGTTATGGAATGCAATAGGTGGCATGATATATAACTGCCTACCATTTCTCATTACCATTAGAACCAAATAGGACTGAATAATGGCTTCAACGAGAATTTACCACCAGTATGAAGAGGAATTCGATGCTAAAATCCCGCAAAGCCTGAATAGCGAAGAATACATGTTATTTTATCGCATTTTGTTTTAAGCGTTAGGTAATTTGGGGGCGATCGATACTTTGATGGCTTGTTTTGCAAAGGGGCTGGAATTATATATATAATCTATATCCAAAGCGTATGAGGTACTTTCACCGCCGACCTCGATTTTTCTGTTGATCTGCTCCCAAAAGTGTTGTTTGCTACAAAGTAACAAAGTGAAGTGATTGAATATATGCTCATATTGTAGTTGGGTGAGTTGGGATGGAGTTTCCGTTTGATGGAATATCTTCTCTGAATTCTCGAGCAGAAGTCGGGCTATCTTTAACCCAAGTTGTAAGACTACATGATATAATGGTCGGATTAAGACCCAATTTGCTCCTGATCGACGTGTGCTCTGGTAACCGCCAATGATAAGCTAAAACGATCAATACAAAATTATGGAATCAAAGACCATGGAGAAGATACGGCGTCAACAAATCCGAGGATGAACATTTCTTATGCTGGAATAAGACACTAGTAGAATCTAGACCAAAGACGTTACACGCTCACAAAGTACATGTGTTAGGTCATCTTCTTTCCCTCTCAAACATCAATAACTCTCACCTCCTTCGCCACCGCATTGCATAATTCCACCTTCACACCAGCACCAGTAAGAACATGAATCCACAGCCTCTGCGTATCACTCAACCTATCATTTTCACTCTTCACCTCCACGAACCGGACCTCCTTCGTCTCCGTATTCCAAAGAAAGAGATCCGGAATCCCGCCTCCTCGGACTCTATACTCTTGCGCCATAACCTTACAAACCGTCGCCAGGGCTTCCCCACCAAAACACTCTACAATCTCAAGAAGATCATCGAGTTCGAATTTCCAACGAAGTCCAATGACACACGTGCCCTTTTCACGCTCCCGAGAATCGACAGAGCGAATGATAGAGGCAGCATCGCCGTTGAAAATCTCAACGAGCCGGTGATTGATCTCGGAAGCCCGGGAGGGATAGAATGCGTCGGTGTGTAGATCAAGCGGGCAGGTTTGAAAGGCTGTTTGAAAGACATTTGGTATGTAGACGAATAGGACATCGAAGAAGAGGTATGCAAAGAGAGTACGTATGATTCCCCCTTCTGCGTGATATCCCTTGAACCCTCTGGACCGGTAATCCGAAAGGCACATGGCTTCAACACTACACTCTCCACCACCTTCAGCTTCATCTACCCAGATCGTTTTTGTACTGCGTTGCTTTTCCTCAACTGCCGGCTGACCACTCATCTGACGCTTTAATGTTGGTGGATAATTCTTCTTGATCTGAATTCCCTCCACGGTTACCTCAAGAGGTTTGGCAAGTAAAACATGGTCGAAGTCATGCTGTTCCCTCATTGGAATTCTGATATTCCTTTCAATCTTCTTGATTCGTTTTTGGAGATCGTAATGGTAAATCATATGGCAATCATTATCCTGAAGTCCCTGCTCGCAAGTGTGTAATGATACCCGCTTCCAATGACGCTTTTGTTTCTCGGGATCTGATATGTCTGCTGGTGGTTGAATAGCATACATGTAATGTTCTTCCAATAACGCCTTGCGCTGATACCATGATCCTCGCCGGGCAGCATGAAAGAGATGTTGATTCAAAAGCTCGCTCAGAACGTCGTATTCTCGGGCGTAGATCTTAAAGCGCCCGAGGACATAGGTCCCTTTATGTATGATACGCGTGTATACCCAAGCAGGTGAGAATCGACGAAGGTATGCTCCCTCGCCAGTCTCATATACACGATCCTCTTTACGTTGTTCTTCGGCAAGAAGGACCTTCCACCGAGGATAAACGGCATCAAAGATGGCAAGCACTTCTTCCAAGCCCTTCTTGCCTGGATTGCCATTCATTTCAAGGATTTTATCTACCCGGGATTGTGCCCTCAGAGCAGCTTCAAATTCCAAAAGATCAGATCTTGTGGAGAAGATATTGGCAGACCTTGAGACAATATAATCCGGAAAGACACGGCGCGATATTCGAGCCAGAATGATGGTAGTCAGGGACTTTTCTGACCATTCAGTTGATCTATAGAAGACTAGATGAACTCGCCCAAACAGGTTTAAAGTTGGCGCAGAGAGTCGAATACAAGGCCCAGTGGATGCCATTATCTTGCGCAAGAAATGACCATCTCTGTTTTTATCGGATTTCGCGCTGTCTTCAGTATCTGTATCATTGTCACCAGATTCCGAAACATTGGTTAGCTCACTCTCAGATCTTTTGAGACCAACCCAGCCTAAACCACTCTGTCGCCGACTCATATTGTGAAGTGCCTGAAGAAGCTCTGTTTTATTCTTGCCTTTTATTTTGGCTTCTTTTGCAATCACTTTGAGTTCCTCGAGAGTAAGTAACGAGGAAGCTTCTTGAAGTGAAGCAATCGAGTTGTCAGAGGAATCGGCGAATGTGAAGTCCGAATCGAGCCGAGTACCTTCTGGTGGGTTGAGCTCCGCTGGATTGATCTGAGCTTCAGCAGATGAATCTGGCAAGGCACGGGGCCTTTGAAGAATCTCTACCGCCATGGGAAGATCTGAAATATCGCCATAGTAGCCTAGCTTACTGATTCGATGCCATACAGACGTCTTCCGCAGAAATAAGCGAACATAGCTATAGTGCTGTTAGAAAACATAATTCGGGCTTACTACAAGAAGAAGTAGTGTAAGATATTTGAAAGAAAGACAATATAACTTTTGCGTCTAACCACAAGTCTTGAATGAGGAGACCTTGTGCAAGAAAGAAGTGGTATAAAAATTATGACAAGAGTTACCAGCGTAACAACTTACAGATACTGAGCTTCGTAGCCAAGATTCCTCCATTGTTCAAAAACCTCGGTCTCCTTCTTATCAAATAGATGTCCCTCATCCTCGAGAACAGTTTCAAGCGCTAGATTGAACGCATCAACATAAATGGAACTTTTCCCCCTCGTCCAACTACGGTCCTTCAGTCGGTAACTAAGAGCTTCATTAGAGTCATCGGCGGCCCTCATAGCCTCGTATTCCTGTATCGCTTCCTTATCGGTTTTCACAGGTGACAAAGTACTCTCCAGTTCCGTGGGTTTTGAAGACGTTTTTCTGGAGTCCCCATTCTCGGAATTTGCAGAATCATCTTCAGAATCAGGAATCTCATCTCGATAGCTGTTGGGTGTTCGTACAATCGAGTCGTCTCCTGAGAGGAGGTCACCATCGGTGCTCTCACTGGTCTTAAGCCGTTTCGCAGGTGGCGACCTTAGCTCGTCGTGGAAATTTGTTGAAGGGGGATGAGGTATAAGCATCGCATCGCCCAGTGTGTATTTGTGAAACTCAAAGGCAATGTCCAACGGGGCAGACGGCTGATTGATGTTGCCTGAAGATCGAGTCGCGTCATTAATGTTCTTCCGAGGTCAGACATTTAATCAGCACACGCGAGAACACGTGAAAACGTGCTTACAGTACTGTCTCAATTGGACAAGTGAATTGTTTCATCAGCTCAATTTAAGTACTGTTACAAAGCGGCTAGTAAGCTAGTGATAGACCAAAATTCTATTGTACTATCATGACAATATTCTCACAGTTTTAATTTACACTTTATGTTAGATGCCCTTAACAACGCTAATGCCATAAATTATACTACAAATGAGCCGGGAAACGATTAGCTGCACGTATTCTGTCTCGCAGTGGACTAAATTCTAAAGAAAACCCTGTCAATCTTGTTTCTTGTTAATGACTTTGAAATTAACTCCGGTGCCTGCGCTGCTTTTAGGACGATAACTAGAATTACAGAGGTCGTAAGTATGAAGGAGCATTTCAGACTACAGTCCTTCGTTTTGTGAGTATGAGTTGTCTGTCGCAAGGTTTTGCGGACACATTTTCAATGACCAAAATAAATGACCTTCGAACATTACCATGCTCCAACTTCGAAATTTTCCTAAACATGTTAGTTATGGCTTCAAAGGGACGTTTAAAGCTTACTTCTGAAAAATATGTCGTTACAACGGTACGATCAGCAAACTTTCGTCCAGCCAGAGCTCGGAGTGCCTTGCCAGCGGATTCTGGGCCATCGAATTTGACGAATATTTTGCCGACTCCATTCGATTGTCTGCTGCCACCAGTAGGACGAGGAACTTTCATATCGAGAACCTTGCCATACTTCTCACATTCTTCTTTTACGTCTTCGCAAATTTCTAGGGGTCGTGTTAGCACAAAATGTGGTTTCGTCGATCAGGACCGTTTACCTTCGTAATCTTCATTATCAATCAGCTCCTCGGGGGTCACCATGTTTAGTAATTGCAAGACACGGCCTTCCTCCAAGTCTTGAGATGTGGTACCCGCAAGCATGGACATTGCGTTGACACCCATCTCAAGTCCAGAAACCTGTGTGTTTCCAATACTAGCTCGTTGTACTTTGAGGTGCTTGTCACCCAATTCCATTCCATTCAATCCCTCAACGGCAATGTCGGTTGTCACTGCTGCCTCAGCATACTCACAGAATGCAATACCCTATAGACAATTAGTTGAGAAGTCTCTTGAATATTTCAATGAGACTTACGCGAGATTCCTCGGTGCTACTATCTTTCACCAAAACAAAAGCCTTCAGCTCTCCGAAAGAAACCAAGAGCTCGGTGACTTGCTCATCGGTCAAATACAATGGAATATTGGAGATGCAAATCTTGTTTTGTGTGTCCACAACAACATTCGAGACCACGCCGGGCTCTAGAGGAGTCTCGTCAGCAACTGCCGGCACGATATAATCCTTAGGTCGACGGATAGAAAGCCCTTTGGTGTCGCCTTTGGGTTGCTCCTTTTTGACATAGTCGCCATCCTCCATAGTTATTCCGTCAAGCGCCAATGCAACAGTTGCATCTGAAGGGGTCTTGAATTCGAGTAAGGCAAACGACTTATCTTTCGAGATCTGTGCAGAGATGCAGGGATCGGACCCTTCAATGACATTGAGTCCATTCAGTTGCAGGTTGAAGAACCCTACAATGGTCTCCTCGCTAACGTTAGATGAAGGTAGATTATGCACAAGCAGGCGCTTGGCTTGACGAGAGTTAGAAGGCTTCAAAGCAGCATTGGTGGCTGAGCCACTTGGTTGCGCCATGAAAGCTTGCAGCTTGCTTGGGTCCATAGGTTGTTGTCTTGGTGCGCCTGGTAATGGAAACATGCCAGAGAGCTTTGCTTGTTCTGCAGTTACATTCTCATAACCTTGTGGCTTGATATCCCACTGCGTTAATCTTCTCCGACGCTCGAGGACTGACACGACGTCTGTCAAGTCTGGTGTGGGCTCCTTCTTCTTTGGTGGTGGGGTTGCGCTCTTCTTGCGATCTCGTCCTGGTCCTCCCCCAAAACCACCATCACGATCGCCTCTATCTCCACGTCTGCCGCCACCATTTCTTCTGTCGTCAAACAAATCTCTGTCTCTTCCTCCTCTCGGGGGCGGTCTATCGTCATCGTCTCGTCGTGCGTCGCGTCTAGAAGAGCCGCGATCACGGTCCCATTCTCTCTCTCCACCACCCCGACGGTCTCTGCCAGAATATCTATCCTCGCGCTCTCGTTCTCGGTAATCGCGACTGGTCGAGTATGAATCTACATCACCTTCGCGGCGAGATGGACGGGAGCCCCGATGGCCTGGGGACCGAGAGCGACGGCGGTCGCGATCACCTCTGTCTCCTCTATCTCCACGTCTGTCATCACGAGACTGGCGGGAATTAGCTGGAGCTGGCCTGTGGAATATCGAGGGGAACGTACTGGGTGGTCTCTAGAAGAACCATGGCGACCGGTATCTGTTGATGCTTCATTGTCAGCTGCAGCTCCACGTTGTTGCCTGGGTTTTGTCGATGAGGGTGCCATGCCTCTAGATGAATAGCTGTCGCCGTTCATGATTATGATGCGAGAGCGATTGTTTAACTGAAAACAATACAGTTTGCTGGTAGCAGTAAGATGATGCGATTGTCCAACTCGTAGTTGCGACGAGCCTCTGGATTTGGAAAACCGTTTCGTGCATTTGGATTTGGCGCTAAGGGAAGCTACAAATTCAACTGACCCCTGCCAGCCGAGCGCCAAGAACCATCAGGTGAAGAGGCGGCGAGGGGGCCTCGACTCGGGAACTTCAACCTTATGGACACACATTAAATTGGTATCCCACGATGACAAACTTGCGAATATCAGAGTGGCGGAAGCTCCCAATAAGCCTCAAAGAACTTTGCATAGATACCACATTGAGATGTGGTCAATCTTTCCGATGGAGAAAGCTGGAGAATGAGGGATGGTACGTGCCTGGCTCTATTGTCTATCGTCAAGAAAGGGGCTAAATTATATCACAGGACCTGTACTCTTCATGGACAAATCCTCAGTTTAAAACAAGATGAATCTGGCCTTCAGTATCGATCGATGAGACCAAACATTTCATCTTCTTTAGATCAACAAGCTCAACTCACTAAACCCGGAATTGATGTTCAGAACGAGCTTGAAGAGACTGAGCGTCTCCTCAAACACTATCTCAACCTGGAGCCAAATCTTTCCGCTCTTTATGAACAATGGTCATCAGTCGACCCGAATTTCAAAAAGAGGGCTCCTAGATTTACAGGTATTCGAATATTGAAGCAGGACGCCTGGGAAGCCCTCATTGGATTTATTTGTAGCAGCAATAACAATATTGTCAGGATTTCACAGATGGTAAGTGTTTTGCTCTGCTTTCATCCTCCGCGTCACTCTTCAATTTTTGAGGCATCGAGCGCAAGTATGGCGGACTGTTCTACAACTGGAAAATAGTCAAATACTTGCATCTCACCGAGGATTGTTCAGTTTTGCTCCGAAGTCTCATCTCTAATTACTGTACAGGTTCACAATCTTTGTTTACATTACGGTCCGCTCATTGGGCACGTGAACTCTCAGCCTTTCCATGACTTTCCTACACCAGAATCGCTCACGGGGCCAACAGTCGAAAGCCATCTTCGAGAACTTGGCTTTGGATATCGAGCTCGCTACATCGCCAGGACTGCAACGATAGTCGCAAAAGAAAAACCTGAAGGTTGGTTGCAAAGCTTATGCAATAACGATGATTTTCCTGATCAAAAGCTACCCCCTGGTGGTCGAGAGGGATACCGTCGAGCCCATGAAGAACTTCTTAATCTCCAAGGTGTCGGTCCAAAGGTCGCAGATTGTGTTTGTTTGATGGGCCTTGGATGGGGCGAATCTGTGCCCGTGGATACCCATGTTTGGCAATTCGCTCAACGGGATTACAAGTTTGGTAAAGGAAAACACAGGAGCCTTACCAAAGCAACTTACGATGCTGTTGGCGATCATTTTAGACAACTTTGGGGCATTGAGGCAGGATGGGCTCATTCAGTACTCTTCGCCGCGGATCTGAAAACATTTTCTGATAAAGTGGCGACAAAGGTCGAAATTAAGGTTGACGAGATCAAGGTTAAAGAAGAGGGCGAGACGATCCTAGACCTTAAAACAGTCTTGAAAAGAGAGTACCAAGTGGACGTGATCAAGGACGAAGTAGACGAGGAGAAAACGAAAGAACTTGCGCAAGACAGTCCACGGGCTGGCAGAGCAAAGAGACGAAAACTTTGAGGGCACCAAGATGTAAATATATAAGCTTAATAAATTTATAAAAGGGATCTTTTCACAAATGTGCATCAAGAATTACCTCTTGACAGTCTATTTGTCTAAGATAACTTACATTTTTGACAAATCATTAAAATAATTCCTGAAAAGACCGAAACACTGAGAGCTGTAATTGCCGCTTTTGTTCCGCTGCCATCCCAACAATCCCTGTAACTGATACTCGATAACGCGGGCGATCCAAATCGTTCCCCCACGTCTGCTCTCAACCACAACACAATGCGATGGCCATGGTCCTCAGATCCCGATGACAAAAGCAAGAGCCAATATGGAAAGCGGAAGGACAGCAGAAATGTGACCGACTGGAGCTGGTACGACTGGGAACATTACAAAGATCCTAGGACAATTGCCTCAACCATCATCCTTACCTCCACATTGTTGTTCGCTGTACGCTTTCAACGCAATTACATACGTCGCATCCCGACCGTCGCACATATTCGACCTGAGTTCTATCGAAAACGAAGGTTATTTGGGACAGTGACGAGTGTTGGCGATGCAGATAACTTCCATCTTTTCCACACGCCGGGTGGACGGTTAGCAGGATGGGGTTGGCTTCCGGGAAGGAAGGTACCTGTCAAGAAGATCAAATTGAGGGACAGAACAGTAAACATCCTAAATTAAGTTTGACGGGGTTTCTGGTGCTAATATTGACAGATACGAACTCGAATAGCGGGTATTGACGCGCCCGAAGGGGCTCACTTTGGCAACTCTTCCCAACCACATTCCAAGGAAGCACTTCAGTGGCTCCGGGATTATATACTCAATCGTCGAGTAAAAGCATACATTTACAGACGAGATCAGTACGATCGTGTGGTTGCTACGGTCTGGGTTCGGAAGGGCCTCACTTGCCGATATCAAGACGTTGGATTAGAAATGCTCAAGGCGGGTTATGCAACAGTCTATGAAGCTAACACGGGTGCCGAGTTTGGAGAATTCGAGGAAAAATACCGGCAGGCAGAGAAGGTCGCCAAAAGAAAGAAAGTGGGAATGTGGGCAGGGGACCAGACGAATTATGAGAGCCCGCGAGATTTCAAGACGAGGACTGCCAAACCAGTCCAATAATGAAAAGGTGGTAGTAAAGATTTTAGATGATACCCACAATGCAGAGGAAAGTTTGCGATGATTCGTCATGTTTGTCGTATTGTCAATAGTTTGATCTTCCACTGATACCGTATTTATTTGCTTGATCTAGCTCGGGTATATCAAGACCTGCTTTTTTTTTCTTTTCGGAGACTTTCTTGAGACGAGTTTGACGTTATTTGCTGCTCTCAGGAGATGCCCCATGAGCTACTGCGAGGTATTTCTCCGATGGGGACTTTGATTTGCAGACTCGATTTGCATCTCCAGTACATCAAACAGCCCACCACCCCTCGACTCCAGGACCTGACCACGGCAAAGCCAGCACATCATGTTCGTCAGAACTCTTGCTTCCAGTGATAGCAAAGACTACCGGTATAGAATATGACAAGTCTTTCTTCAACCTGGTATTCTTCTTGCAAGCTCTTCCATCTGGTCGCATAATAGCAGCCAAATACGGTGTTCGCTGATGCCGCGCATGCTGAAGATTTTCCACGTTATCGGCGAGCATTGTATTTATGCGCCCAGGGCTGCTGCCAATCCGACTGCTATGGTTTCTTACGTGTTTGAGTTGCACGGTGGAAGGCGTGATTTCATTGGCCAATGACTTTTAATAGAATGCCAACCATTGCCGGGGATACCAGCCCAGGATCTCAAGCCCATGTTTACCAATGGTTTGAGTGACGAGATGACGAGATGTCTGAGTAGAAATTCCAGGGCGCAGCAAAACAAAACAATTGATTCCTTTTGGCCTCATTATATCGATTGTTGCCACAGCAAATTTCTGGATTCTCAGTTTTCCATTATTTTGCGACGTGGAGGTGCAGGTAGGACCTCGTATCAGGAGTGACACTGCACCGTCGGTACCTGGGCTCACCAGCCAATCCCAGGCCTTCAGAAAACCCTCAGTCAGGAACCCCCGGTGCAGCGAACAGAAAAAAACGGGGAAAAGGAGATGAGTGGTGTACTCGTGGTCCTGTGCCGCTGTACAATCTGATCTACCATTTCTGTCAAATCTTCTTTCTCTCCTGAACCTGGGAAGCAGAAACACCGTCGTCGACTCGTCCATCAATTCCTGCAACTCGTTGCACCGTCACTCATTACTTGGAGCAGATCAGGACAGTGTTTACTCTTGGTATGTTTTGCGCTCTTAGCCTCTTAGGCTCTTAGCCGTGGTCACATATACCCCCCAAAGCCAAAGCCAAAGCCACAGCCCGAAATCCCCCTGGGCTAAGGTACTGTGCAACAGTACCCGAGTCTAGCAGTCAATGTTGGTGTGGTCGCTGGCCCGTCGGCTTCCACCTCACTTCCACATCCAAGATCGTCATCTCTAACCAGTCGTGCAGGTTGAAGCGACGACCACACACTCTTTCAATCCTTTTGTTCTCATCCTCCTCTACCGACCCTACAAACAAATTCCTCTCATCGCCTCTTCGTCCGTACATACACAATCCATCTCCATACTTGAAACAATTTAATCAGACAACGACACCCCTAATCAGACAACGACGCGGCCAGTGAATACGATACAGATTTCTTCACAGCCACCAAGATTAGGCCCCGTACGACAACTCCAAATCTTTGTACTTGTTTGCGCTGTCGGGTTTTCAGCGCGATAATCCTGTTGTCGGCATCACAATAACAACTCTAATAATTGAATCACATTCACAGATCCTCCATCTCAAAATTTGCTTCCGCTCGAGAGGCTATTCCGCCGCCGCCGAGGATCCAGGACCCTGGGCTTTCGTGACCACAATCCGACTAGCGAAAGAACGGATTCAATTTTTCGCGCAGCCTCACCACGACAAATCACCACCTCACCGGATATAGAGGACGAGACCATACAGACGCGCGATCGCACGCAGCAGTACCTCATCGAATCAATTAATTGCAGGAGGGTTATGGAATAGTGCTGCGTTCTGTTGTTGCGAATCTCCCAGGTGAAGTCGAGCGATACGCTCAACGGCGATTGAGTATCGTAAAGCAAGGAGGACAACAGTGGAAGACAGCAATGAGACTCTCATCATGGTGGAGCTCAGTGGGGGACCTGCCGCTGTTATTACGACATGGACTTCTACTTGCATGTATCACACCATTAGGGCATGCCATAACTTTCAAGTCAATACCCTCAGACAACCTCGATCTATCGAAATTAGGACGCGTTGGGTTGGCTGGAGACTTTGACAGTATTTCACTGTATCAATTTGAAGGGCAGAGCCAGGATTCCCTCGGCGCTAATCGCAGTTCATCCATACTGACGAGGTTTCCCAATGGCGCCTTTGATCAGCTGGCGGCCTCGGATGCGACGATAGAGGTGATGTGCTCGTTTGTTTTAAAGAGTGGAACTTTGGCAGGAGTGGTGGTAGGGGGCGATTTCACCAGTCTGGGGGGCAAAAATTCACCTGGCGCTGCGATGTACGACCCAAATACTTCCACCATTACACCTCTTACTGGACTTTCTGGAAAAGTTACCGCGTTACTTTGTGATTCGTCTTCAGATAGGGTCTACGTTGGAGGTGCTTTCAAAGGTGCAAACTCGTCAAATGCTATGGTATGGGTCAATGGTCAAGGCTGGAATGAGCTCCCCTTTAAAGGCTTTAATGGTCCAGTCACATCAATTTCCAAGGCTTCTAATGGACATATTATATTTGGAGGATCTTTCACTGGACTAGGAAACACAACTACACCAAAGAACCCAGATCAACAGATTATCAACATTTCTGGAGCTGATATCACTGCTGTCGCATCAACTGCCACTACAGGCCTCAGCGATCCACGAAACATCGTTTGCAAAACCAGTGGGACAGATGGACCAGATAATACATGGCTTCTGGCAGATAATGCCCAAGGCTTCTGGAAAGCCAGCTTTGGGTTTGGATTTCAACCAACTAAATTACGCCTCTATAACACCCATCTGGATGGACGAGGCACAAAGACATGGAGATTCACAGCTCAACCGATCAACGGCATCTTGAACTTCACCTATATTGATCCTGCCACTGGACAAAACGCTTCTTGTTCCTCTGAATGTCCACTGAGTGACAACAGCACTCTCAAGTTCCAAGATTTTCATTTTGTAAATGTCATTGGCATGAACGGTTTCCAAATTGATATATCCGCTTTTTACGGCAAAGGAGGAGGTCTCAACGGTATTGAATTTTTCGAAGATGAAATCTACTCTTATGCTATCAACAAATTCAATGAACCAACTTGTGCTGGTGTTCAAATTGCTTCAAGTGCGAGCGCTACTGGTCCTTGGGCCGTCACGCCATCTGGAGCAAGTGCGTCTGAATATCTCACTGCCGCTGTTGGCACATCTACGGAAGCGACTGTCATATTTAAGCCTGATATCAAGCAATCTGGAAATTACTCAGTCAACATCTACACACCCGGATGCAACCAGGATGATAGCTGTTCCTCACGCGGTCGTGTTAACGTCAGCGGTATAATGTCTACTGGCGATACCAACTCAAAGTTTAACACTGAGATTTTCCAAACAAACCTGTTCGACAAGTATGATCAGATATTTTTCGGCTATATTGAAGCTGGTAGCAGTTCCTTCCAAGCTTCTATCACTCTCTCGCCTAGCGAGGATCAAAACAACCCCAATCTCAAAGTTGTCGCACAACGAGTCAGCTTCGCTCTGACATCTCCATCCACTGGAGGGCTCAACAATATATTTGAATTTGACCCAACCAAAGCTATGATCGATGCTTCTGATTTCGCCAATTCAACCTTTGATAAAGCAGGAATCAGTATTGGAGTGGGTTCAGGGGTAAACACGTTGGCAACATCTGACACCACAACGTTTGTGGGTGGCAACTTTTCCACTGATGCTTTTCAAAATATTCTCGCAATCACAGACTCTGGTGCAACAGCCCTAGCTGGAGGTAGCTTGAATGGAGAGGTCCTAACGGCTTTTGTGAACGGATCGTCCTTATATGTTGGTGGAAATTTTACAAACACAAATGCCAACAATGTGAATGGTTTAGGTCACGTTGCTGTATACGATACTTTAGAGAACACATGGGCGTCACTAGGGGCTGGTGTCAATGGCACTGTGACGGACGTTGTACCAATTTCACTCAATGTCACAGAAAATGTTACTGAGACTGTTATAACAGTCACAGGTGACTTCAGCCAGATAATCGGATTTGGAGGCAATCCTGCTATAGCAGTTTCTGGGTTTGCTGTCTGGATTCCATCTCAAAACAACTGGCTCCAAAATGTGAAAGCATCGACTAGTGTAACAGGAAAACTTATGGCTGCTCTTGACCTTCCTGATGGTGGCTCTCTGTTTGCTGGGTTTCTCTCGTCATCCCAATTTAACTCCAACGGAGTCGTGCAACTTTCTTCCCCGTCAGGAACAGCTTCTTTGAGTACATTTCCTGTGGCAATAAAGCGAAATGCTTTGGGATCACCAAGTTCATTCACCAAGAGGGCAACTGCAGGTGCTATTCAAAATGTTACTGGTGTCGTCACTGGTCTTTTCTACGAGAATGGAACAAGTAATATCACAATTCTGGGTGGTCATTTCACTGCAACAGGTACCAGCGGATCAGATATCAACAACCTGCTGTTCATCAATAACTCAAACGCCGATACGGTCACTGGTGTTGGCAGTCAGATAAACAATGACTCCACTATTCTAGCTCTTGCAATTATGGATGATACTCTCTGGGCTGGTGGATTCCTCAGTGGAAACGTCAATGACGCAGATGTGAATGGTTTGTTCTCGTATAACTTGAAGACCTCAGCCTTCGGCACCCAACCACCAGCGCTCTCAGGCACCAATGCAGCTGTCAAAGCTATTGCTGTTCGACCCGGTACTACTGATATCTACGTCGGGGGCAGTTTCTCATCCGCTGGGTCTCTCCAATGTCCTGGAGTATGTGTCTTTACCACTTCTGCTACTCGGTGGGATAGACCTGGATCTAATCTTGGTGGAACCGCCCACGCTATGATGTGGCAATCTCCTACTTCACTGATCATTGCTGGGGAACTTGTTATCAACGGCGGTAATGCTTCAGTGGCCACCTATGACACGAAATCCCAGAATTGGACTATGGCCACTGGTGCAAACACTATTCCAGGACCTGTCACCACCATGACTACAGCCAATAATGATGGTACTGAGCTTTGGGTTGGAGGGATTGCAAGTAACGGCTCTACCTTCCTCATGAAATTTGACGGCACCATCTGGAATCCTGTTGGCGATGTATTTGGAAGTGGAACAAACATTCAATCTCTGGAGGTCTTGCCTCTGTCTCAAAATCATGGAGGAACCGACCTTCTCTCATCTAATCAAGCACTTATGATCACAGGCTCATTGAACGTACCTGGATTTGGCAATGCTTCAGCAGTTATCTTCAACGGCACAACCTTCCAACCCTTCGCACTCACCAGCAGTTATTCCAAGAATGGTGGCAGCATATCCCAAATCTTTCATGCAAAGAAGACTGTTTTCTCAGCAGCTCGTTAGTTTTAAATCCTCCAAACCAGTCCTCAACTCATACTAATCTTATATATAGGTTCCCGCATTGCTCGCGGATTTGTGGTTTTGATAGCACTGGCCATTGCACTGGGCCTAATTTTCCTTCTTGTGGTAGCTGGTGTGGTCGCTGAACGTATCCGAAGGAAACGAGATGGTTATATGCCAGCACCAACATCAAGTTATGACAACCAAAACAAGATTTTAGAATCGAGAATACCCCCAGAGCAATTGTTCGGTTCCCTTGGTCAAGGTCGAAGCGGAGTCGAAAAACAGTCGACGCGGATATGAAGATAATTACTTAATGGCGTACTGGACATAATGGCGTTCTGGATAGGCTGAGCTATGGGCCTTCGATTTACACTTCTTGATGATACTTTTTTGCGGCATACCCATTTACACCAAATAAGCAAAGCGCCCAACCCCTGCTCTGCTAGCGAACTAGCACGTTACGGCCTCTTGAGCACATAGTGCTGAATCTACGACACCTGTCATAGATGTACTTATTTTCTTTTTTGTCCTGCATCGATGGAATACGGAGGGGTCTAATGTTTCAAGGCCATGTTTCAAGGCAGCTGCCACGAACCGCCATTCTCCGTTTTTTTCCGTCATTTTTCTTTTTCGTTGTTCTCCCACAAAACACACCATCTTCTCTTTGTAAGATAGACCTTTCGCACTGGCCCCCGTCACATGGTCGTGCTTTGCCCTTGTAGAGGTTTTGGTAGGAAAAAGACCATTTACCTCGGTTGTAATTGAGATGGAAGGGAGGAGTGTTTAATGTATAGGGTTTGGTTGGGGATATCTTGACCATAAGTCTACTTCTTCTTTTTTTTCTTTTTTTGAGGGGAATGAGATGATTAATTCAATGAAGATATAAGGACATGGTTTTTGTGCTGCAAAATGATTTCCCCTTCCCCTTTTTTGGGGGAATTATGCTTGTGAGGTGAAATGTGGGTTTTTCTCTTGGTGGGGGTTTGTAGTAGTTGTCACTTCAGTTCTACTATACCACTTTGGTTGTTTACTTTCAACCCCCTTCATCGCTTTCTCACCGAGTCACCGTATTCGAAGAAGCTTTTGATACTTCAATACAGTTCTCCTCTCCCATCTAAGTCTGAACATTAACCAACACCAACCGTCCTCCCCTCCCCTCCTCCCCTCCTTTCCTAAATCCCACAGACACCTTATGAGAATCTGATTCCAACACATCTGCCTTCTCTTTCTCCTCCCAGACTTCCTGCCTCCCTTGGGTAATGAATAAGTTGATAAGTAAGGTGCCGACGATACGGAGTAAATTGTTTTCTTTTTTGTCTGGTTCGTCGGCCTGGTGATTAAACATGGTGGGTGTTTTAGGGGTTTGGGGGTTGGAGTGAGAGGGAGAGAGAGAGATTGTTGGGGTTTGGAAATTTGGGGAGGAGGGTGTGAGAAGGGGAGAAGGGTGTGATATGTGTTAGGTGGGAGGAGTGGGGGGAGGGGGAAGGGGGGATAGTAGGAGTGGTTGTTAAGTGGGATGGGTTTGGTGAGTTGATAACTTGATAGAGGTAAGGCTGGGAAGGGGGGTTAGTTATATAGAGAGGTATCTTTAGGAAGGAGTTATAGTTCTTATCGGAGAGCTCTTTGCTTTCTATACGTAAGTATAATCTAGGGAATCAAGTATGTAGGGGAAGAATGGTTTTCGGAAATTAGAAAACGGGTATACTTATCCTCTATTCTGGGACTATTTCTCAATGATGTTATAAGGTAATATCAGGTCTTCCAAGCTTCCTTGAAGCCTCGAACGTCTGTAATCTTACGTACTTAGCTATATTCAACCCCCCCTCCCCCCCACCCCTACCCCTTCTATGTAGGGAGATATACTGGCCCTGTAGCTCTGTATTAGAGTAATAGACTCTTCTTTGGGACTTGAGATAGAATACCGTTAGAAATATGCTTTTAGCAAATCTCAACAGGGAATTGGAGCGAAGAGAAGGAAGGGTATATATATATGAGGCGCTGAATAGCTAGGTGATGGTACTTGGTTTTGTTTTGTTTTGGATTGATTCTTGAGGGGTTCGTTCTGGTGTCTTTGCGGGTTGTGGACTTTTGAGTTTTGAGTTTGGGGGCACGGGAGGGGAGGGGGGGAGAAGTTGGGTTTGTGGATTGTGGATTGTGAGGGTGGGGTGGAGGGTTAATTGGTAGGTTATGTAGGCTTTGGGATATATACTCGAAATTATAAAATCATACGAGGAAGGGGATGGTTGTTGTTTCTGCGCCTATAAATCTTCTTGTTACTGTTTAGTTTGGTATTATCTTGAGCGTTAATTTTTGGGGGGAGACGCTTGGTTGATTGGCTACAAGATAGCAGGACGGGACATTATTTTCTTCTAATTCCCCTTTTTTGTATACCATACCTGGGAATCTTGGTTTGGAGTTTTATACTAGGCTTAGCTTTTTAGATGGGGGTTTTTGAAGGATAGGACTTGACGCGAAGATGTTTTCGTCGAGAGGGAAGTTAGTAGTAAGGTGGGTTGTTAGGAAAGGGTTGTTGATTTATTTCTTTTTCGAGTCTTTTTTACTCTTGCCTTTTGTCAGGGACAAAACAGGAAAATGTTCGAATGAGCTATAAAAAGTGGATCAAGGAGAGAAGCTAGCTAAGGGCAATCAGATATTCTTTATAAGACGACCCTGACCGAGTGGAAGGCTCTAGAGTACTAGGTATCCACCTGGGCAACCGAGACAGGAGGGCAGGAGTCTCGGGCAAGACCGACATGTCGTAACGATTGCTGTCACAAAATCGAAAGACGACGTCCCAGCGTCAACAATATTTCTGTGGATGAATGGACGAGACTCTTGATCAGTACCCATCCGATCTAATTTAAATAAGTGTACAGTCAGATCTAAACCGGTGGCTCTTTATAAGCACATGCCTATATTTAGATACAAGTCCAAATAGATCAAATCCATAATCCAAATCCTTGTCCGAGAGGCCGTTGATGAGCATATCGGCGTCTATTCATCATGTCCATACAAAATCCAAAGCAATATGATGTATCCGTCCCCAAATAAATGATGTGTCGCAAGCGAGCGGTAGGGAGGTACGTGTGTCCTCCTTCCTGAAAGCCCTTCGAAATTTTAAGTATGCTTGTCCTGTTGTATCTCCCTCCTATCCTTCTGTTGCTCCTTTGCGAGTCTTGTCCCACCGGGGTCAAAAGGATGAAAACGGATGCCTCTTTTGTCTTGAATATCGTACCTGTTTGGGCTCGTGATTCTGTTCGCTTAATAAGAAGGGGGGTATTTTGTGAGATATCTGCTGGCTCGGTTCGTATTGCGAGGGCAGACTTTGCCGGTTTGTGTTTTTTCCCCGGGTTTTGCGAGGCAAGTTGAGGTTATTCGCAAATGTAGAAATGGGTCGAATTTTGACTCATGTAAACAGCTTCGCACCTACGGTACCAAAATACCTATCGCGCAGTCTTCTTTCCAATTCCCTCCCCTCCCCATTCACTCACTCACCACCAACCAACCACCTCCCCTCCCGAAGTTCTCCTTTCATAACCCCAAATAACACATCCAGCTCTCGCTATCCGACCTAGAATTATTACAGGTTACACTTGCGCATAGGCAAAACAGTCAGGAGGAAGACGTTAAAAATTCCGCAAGCCGCGGCCTATCGGAGCGAAGTAATAAACCGGCCAGAAATGGTGTCTGAGTTTCCTTGAGAGCCTTGTACAGTTCTTGTGCATAGGTAATGAAGTTTTTGCCGTTTTTTGGGGATTGTTTTTTGGGGTTTTTGCGGGGTGGAGTGGGGAGAGGGTAACGCGTTGGCGTGAGGGAGGGTTTGAAGTGGGATTTGGACGTGGTTTCTCGCTGGTGATGTTGGGGTGCTCAACAAAGAGGTCAGTCTGAAACAAGGTGGGGTGCAGAGAAGGGGTGAGAATCGGTTTGTGGTAAAATTGAGGAGGAGAGTTGCCTGGCGCTCCTTCGAAAGTAGTGTTCTGTCGGAGCAATCGATGACTGGAAGCCGGTCTGTGAGGGCCGTCAATCCTTTGCAATGTAATGCCTGTTTCGGTATTGCGATGTAACCGGGCTTAGAGAGAGCAATAAGGTGGGTTCAATACACAAGTCCTCTAGCGAAGTCGAAAGCAAGGTCCTGGGAATAGTTCAACGATTAGGGAGCTTAACAGAGACCTCAAGTGAGAGTACCGAGATATTGAACTTCGCTAACATTATCTCGAACCAAGGAGAAAAAGTTAAAACAACGTAAACTCGAAAGGTATAGATCGCATGAATTCACTAGGAAGGGTAATTGTAATTGAACGTAAATATATAGACAAGGAGGTAAGCTATTATTCTCCGAAAGAAGATGACGAGGTGATCATCTAGTTGCATATGCATTAAGATATACCGGGGAAGGACGCGACATATTTATTGGGCAGCAAACACTTAATAAGATTAGACTTAGCTTCGTGAATCTACAAACCTAATATGTATGAAAGTTTTGGAACCTACGCGCAGCATTTCGGGAATAGGTTGGTAGACGAGTACTATGTAACACTACCAAAAAGTATAGGAATAAGTATCTACAATTGAACTCTCTGTATACAGACTTCCTGTTATCAACGACGAATTCAAGAAAAGATGCCAGTTAGGCATGTGTGAAAACGGCATTAAAACTCGAGGTCCTGGGATGATTTCTTGATCAATCTGTCAACACCTAATGCTGAGTGGCTCCGAGTCACTCTATAGAGATTCTCAAAAAGATTTCAGGGAATGAATACATAAAACATGGGAAGTCGGGTTAAGATACTGGGGAGTCACGGTTCCCTTGGGCTCGTTATGAGCTAGTAAAATGACACGAGGCGTTAGCAATTTGATGGAGTCCTCAAATACAGCTTGAAGAAAAACCACCATAGGGGCGATGACTTCAAATACTTGGTCGGAGATATAGATGTCTAATGTGCAAAGTTCATACGAAGCATAACAACGAGGTTTATAGAGCGCTTGTATATCGCAAAGCTGTAAGGATACGTAAATGCCCATTGGAATCAATGATAGAAACGTTACTCGCCCTATCTCACTTGCTTATTTGTCGCCTACTGCTTCATGAACTGATTTTGCTATTACTATGTTATTTATAGGCGGGAATAACTACTACTGCCCACAAACCGGCTCTCTTTCATTGTCGAGAGGGGAGGCCAAATTGTTTGTAACTGTTCTCTACGATACAGAATCTCCTACTTACCGTTGCAGCACGTTGTTGAAGTATTAAGAGCGCTCACCACCCTATGGAAATTCCCTACATCAAAATACGTAGTACTGCCGTTATAAGAATCTGTAGTCGCACCAGAAACGCCCTCAGACTCAACACGCAGGTCTGTTACAAAATTGACCTGGCTAAATACCTACCTAGCTACAGTATGTGTATCTTGAGTTCCTACCTATTCCAACACAGTCTCGAACCGACTTTCTCAAATCCAGAACTACTCGGTCTAATGGTGCAACAACATCAACTCATGTCGTGCCACTTAATTCCGACCTACTGGATGCATCGGCATCTCTGTACCATATAATAGCCGCCGCCATGAACGTAGGACAAGATCGCAAGACTTACCAATCCAGAACTGGAGATGCAGGTTCCCTTCGAATATTGGGATTTGAGATGAAGAAAATAAAAAAGGAGTTACTACTATCCAAATTTCATGAAAGTCATGTCGTATGGTAGCTTATGGGGTTTGTACTGTAGGATTTGGATAACGGCCCTTTTTCCACAAATGGCCCATTTACCCTTCCGTCGATCCATTCCTTGCCTACCGACGGAATGTTTCAACGAGGTTCGCACAGGACAACGAAACTACAATACATCTCCATGGTACCGAGTACTCGTAACTCGTACCGCGGGAAATTCCAAAAACGGGCCTTTGAAAATAACCTCTTTCGGCAAACAACATCAACAGACACCCGACTAACTATTCCATACACGAACATTACTAAAGTCACGCCGTGTGTCCCTAAAATGGCACTGCAGCACTGTGCACCCATGGCTCCTTCGGGGACTTGGCACTCATAGGCCATTGGTTCCCCTGAGCTCCCTTGCCGACATTTGGGCAGCCCTGTCGAGGTTGAATGCGCCAAAGCAGCCACCGACGTCACCCACAGGTCGTTTTCAACGTCAGTTGAACCTCACGTTAGCGAATCCCCTTCATTTTGACGCACGACGACGCTGTTATTGGGTGGAAGGATCCTTCCATCACTTCCTCCGCACATCAGCAATAGCATCATCCTGCATCTGTGCTGGAAAGTGCCTTCTGATTACTGCCTCACTTTTCTGGTGAAGGGTTCCAATCATTCACCACTTTGCAAGCACAACTCACCCTCCAATATAAGAACCATCGCCTTACCCTACCATACCCTACCTACCCTACCTTTGAACCACGCGCCCTACGTGCATTACAGAAGGGTCTGACGTTCCTCAGTAGGACCCTGAAAAGCACAATGAAGTGCGTGGCGTCTCTTCAAGTCCCTTATCATCCCCCCCTTGGACAACGGCACAGTCCAATAGCGAGGAAGCTATTCGTAGCGGTGACGATGTTTTGCTTCCCNAAATCCTTTCTGGCTTGGCAAACACAAGGCAAGGCGACACCTCAAAATAAAATAAAATCAAAAGTAAAAGAGGCGAAAAATACTCCAGTACGCTTTCTAATTGTAGGAGTGAGGGAACACGGAAATGTTTTTGGTGGTGGGATGATGAAGTCATAAGACGGGTATATCCTGATCTGAATCAAAATCCTGCCTCCGATTTTCAGGGTCCAACGACATTCTTCCTCGCCCTAGGATTACTCGTACCTAGAAAATATTGAGGGTCCAAAAAAATAAAAATAACTGTTTGGAAGCTAAAGCTAAAACTAAAACTAAAAAGAAAAAAAAAGTATCATACCACAAGTAAACAAACAACCACCCTATCACCTCCCCCTCTCCCATCCCATACAAACCAATCAAAGCAAAGGGCATGGATAACCCAATCCAGTCCACATTTCACCCATCTCACCCATCCCCTCCCTCGCACCCTGTCGTTTCATCTTTCCTGCTCGCTACCACACACTCTCCCCTCCTAATCCCAATCAGGGTAGCATGTCGATCCACAATCTGCGTCATAGCTGTGCAACCCCCTCGAGGCCTCCCCTCATCCGTGTTTTCTTTTTCCCTTTTGAGACGGGAGGACGAAACGCCGTTTAGACGTATTTTGAGGGAAGTATGGGAAATATGGGAAGTGTGAGGGTGATGGATGGATGGATGGATGGTTGGATGCTGGCCTATATTATTGCCTTTTATGTTATGTGGATATCATACAGGAGGATAGAAGAGTAGAAGAGAGGGATTTGAATGCGGAAACTATCTCATCCGGAAGATGAGAGGAGGGGAGGGCAGGAAGTGACGAGAGGACGCACGGTAGATACTATAATTTCTTATACTTGTATCCGCATCTTTTGATTTAAGTCTCAAAAATAAATATATAGTATCTATCTACATACTAGCCTAGCCCTAGCACTACTAACACAATCTAAACCCTCAACCACTCACCCCTCATACTCGGTACTCATTTAAAGAACCCAGACATCTACTGTATCTACATCTACATCTACTTCGTACATCTACAACCGCCCCTCCACTCCACTCCACTCCACTCCACTCCACTCCACTACACCAACCACAGACCCAAACTCGTAAACCCACAAGTACCATAAACCCATAAACCTCACAAGACACCCCTTCCATACCAAACCAAACCAATCCCAACCATAATCCCTCACATTCATCAAACCCCCCATCACCATTTCCTAACCTCTCCCTCCTCATCAGATCAAAGAAAATCAAAAAATCCACGATGTCACCTCACAACCCCACACACGTTTCACATAAACCAAAAAGAATGGAGAAACCACACCATAGTACATTTCCATCTCCATCTACATACCCATACCCCGAAAGGTACCCGTGCCCCCCAATTACTGACTGTATTAGCTCTCCACATTGACAATGAAAAAATCCAAAAATCCAAAATATCCTTAAATCCCTGGTTATGTGATATACGAGCGGGACGAGTACCGAGCAACTACCTACCATCCCATCCCATCTCTCTCCGTGACGGCGCGCATTAAACCGCACACTTGACTAGTAGTCCCGCCATAAACTCAATGAAGGCCCTCCGTACATCACTCTACAGAGATTTCTAAAAAGGTCTGTTCTAATAGACTAATAGATACTAAAGAAGACTTTGGGATTGAATTTATATTTTTGCGATTGATTATGGATGGGTTAAAGAGGGGGTGATGGGAGGGTGGATAGGCGTAAAATGTGCGGTTTAATGGCGACATGGAGAGTATCTCTCCCCCCTCACACCCCCCAATTCATCTCCTCATCTCATCCACGTAAAAGCCATCCATCCAATTCGACGAAGAAACACAAACATATAGGGTAGCCATGAACATGAACATGGAAATAGTAGAAAAGGGTAATAAAAATCACGACCACGAAACCATGACCTACCTACATGTATCAGGAAATCTGCCCAAAAATATACGAGGAAAATCAAAATGGTCCAAAAACCCGTCTCACAAAGGAAGGTCAAAGCCAATAATAGAACAGAGAAAGAAAAATAGGGGTCCAAGTGCCGCGCAGAAATGACGATAGTGGTCGCGTGGTACGATGCGATGCGATGCAGTGTCATGTGCATACAACGCATTAATAAACACCACAGGCAGAAAGGAGGAAGGTAATAAACGTAAAGGTCCTCAGAAAAGACGGTGTGATGCACTGTGTGTGTGGCAAAAAAAAAAGCCGTCATTTCAAAACCCTCACTCTCACTCTTGCTCACATATCACATTCATCACATGCATGCATAAATCGGAAAATCGTCATTGGATGTTTTTATATCATTTATTTTTTGATTTATTTTTTGTATTTGAAAAGAAAAAGTAGTAATTATCTATTAATGTAGTAGCGACTGTATGAAATGAAGAGAAAATTGATACCCTCCTCAGCGGAGGGATATAACCTCCTGAGAGTGATTATCTAATTAAAAATGTAGTGACTGTGTACGGCCATCTGTTCGGTCGTGGGGTATATATGACAGCGAGAGTAAGAACATATCCACTAATGTTACAATTCCTTCCCAAAAAAACATAAAAACAAGATATAACAAAACAAAAAAGTCGATCTATGCCATGGCAACTTGCCAACAGTCGCTTGTTCACCCAAGAAACAAAAACGCCTGTAAATGAAACAAAAAAACAAGGTCCAATGCCTGCCCTCCATATGAGTCTCAAGGCCTCTAGAAAAGGCGCTTACTGAACGACAGTGGCAGAAGAGAATCTATCTAGCAAATGAAAACCACCCAGTCGAATTCTGTAGATGTCGAAAGAGAATAAAAAGACAATACGCAGAAAAGGAAGAATATAAACACGCGAAATGGGGATATCGCAAACGCAAAAACCACATATAAGCTCGCCTCTTTTCCGACTTTTGTTTTCTCGTGACATGGCGAAACTTCTAAACAGGCGCAACACGATTGGATTTTGTGATGTGGCGTAAATTGACTTATTAGTCTGATTGATGATCGGAGGATCCGGCTTCCGAGCGCGCCTCTCCCTTATGGACCTTTCGGTGTCTTCGTAGGTTTGAGACGACTGAGAAATGTCTTCCGCAACCTTCAACTTCACAACAAAATGCTAGATTGAATTAGTCAATGCCAACATGGGTATATATCCGTGCGTAACTTACGTTTTTCACCAGTGTGGCTGTACATGTGTGTTTGAAGTGAACTTGGGCGGGTAAATCGCTTGTCGCAAACCTTGCACTTGTGCTTCTTCTGCGTGCTGGATGAGACTTTCGAACTGAATTGTCCCATCATCGATTGGGGTGCGGGGGGAATGCCGCCGTTGAGGAGACCCGATGGTCTAGGTAATGTTCTAGAGGAGACTGATTCGATGTCTGAGCCCGCATTCGAATAGTCGCTCACTGATGAGTCAACTGAACCGCCGAAGTATGATGGGTAATTTCCAGAAGATGATATCGAAGAACTGCTGGAGTGTGTAGAAGGAAATCCGTATGAATCACCTGATCCTCTACCGCCAGCCCTTCCTTGCGGCGCATAGATGTTTCTTGGCGTGGTGTTTTGACTCATGGCAATCATTCCTCTGCTTGCATCCATCTCATCTCCAAATCCCCGTGTCGATTCGTTTGGTATGCCTCTGTCATTGAAGTCAATATGTGAATGTTGACGTTGGAGGCGTTGCGCATCTTCGGCGATTTCGAGAAAAGAACTGGAGGATACTGACGGTTGTGAGAGACGGCGTGAAGTATCTTGCGGCATGGCATATGTGGAGCGAACAGGTGCGGGTACGTATCCCATTGAATCATAGGGTGAGGAAGTTGGGGGATAGTTGCTGTGCACGGGCGAAGGAGCATTGGTGTAAGTTGGTTCATTGCCAAAACCAGTTGTTGAGCGGACCGGACTCAGCATATCTTGGGTCGTGGTGAGTACATCCTGCGAGCCATAGATACCGGTCAAGAGAGAGCTACCTGATGATGCTTGCGAAATTGGCACGCTGTGGTATTGACCCAAAGAAGCGGCGTTGTGAATTCGAGGAGCATGGTGTTGCTGTTTTCCCATCTCAGTGAGACCGTGGGTGGAGTGGAGGTTGTGAGAGGGCGCGTATAGATTTTGGTTCTGAGCTGGCGCTGAGGACGTCCATGGATTGGTGAAGTGCGGGGAGCTGGAGTAAGGCATAGGGTCGAACATGCCGAAGCGTTGTTGATTGTCGATAGTCATGGTCATCTTAGAAGATGATCAGTGTTGATAGGCGGCGAAAGGTGGTGGTTTTGTTAAATCGTGGAAGTGATAGTTTCAGAGGATGCCTGTACTAGATGCAAGATCCCGTCTGATGATGGTCGTGTAGTACGTATTAGGGCCGAGGAGGTCTTGCAGAATGTAGGAATGATCCGAACCGTTTCTCGGGGATGGGATCAGCGTTCTTTATGTGTTCTTGCAGTGGTCGAGGAAGGGACGATGTGGTTGGCTGGCGAAGGTAGTCAGTGTTTTGAGAGGCTTTCTGGGCCGACCCACAGCGATTCGTCTGAGGGGAGAATGGCGGAGGGGCCTGAGGGACGTGCTTTTTGGACGGTGCGTGCCTCCGAGGGGCCCTTGGGATTGCGGTGGAAACGATCGACAATGCTCAAGCAGCGTTCTAATTCCCTTGCCTTGAAGAATGCGAGCGTAGCGGGCGTGGATGGGGTGCTGGTGCTGGTGCTAGCGGGGCTCAGGGTTGAGATTCTGCGCTGCCAATGCTGGAGCTGGACAATGCTCTGCGACTCTGCTGCGTAGAGATGCGTTGCGTTGAGTCGCTTTGCTGGGGTGGAAGCTAGTATCTGCTCAATGGGGACGCTTTTCTTTGTTCACGGCTCGATGATGCCGGGAATATGAGTTCTTTCTCGGGGGACAGGGTAGAACTTTCTTCTATTTCCCAACGGATTCAACTGTGCAGTGCCGGCGAAACCCTTTTTTTTTTGGGACGGCTTGAAAGCTGTCAGATCGTTCGGTAGAGGGATCGTCGTCGTTGCGATGAAGGGACGAGGGCAAGGAGGACGGTTGTTGTGGAAGTGGATGCAGCCACACTTGGAGGCAGGAAAAGGCGACGATCGTGAGCAATTGGGATATTGAGGACTTGAACTTGGGAATTGGGTATGGCTAGTGCAGTGTAGTGGCAGTGGGCCTGGCTTTTGATCTGAGCCTCTTGTTCTTGTTCCTGCTCTTGACTCGAAACGGCGAGAGAAGTGGGAAAGAACGTTAGACTCTACAGAGTAGTGGAGACGCTTGTAGTGGGTGGTTCCCGCGTAGTAGATGAGATGACAGGAGACAATGATGGATACTGCTCAGCTGAGATGAATTGTGGTCTGGGGAGGGGGTAGGATGGGGATGGGAAGAGCAATTCGAAGCAAGAGGGAAGTATCTTGACGATCTTCAAGCGGGGGAGGCAACGGACCCTTTACATAAGGATAAGGGACTAGGGAACTTGACAGCCAAATAGATAGAAAGTAGAAAGTGTGCCCAGTCCGGTAGTAGTCAAGATACGTAGGAGTGTACGGAGTGTAGAGTAGCTAGCTGCAGCTGTGGCAGACGAATGATACAGACGAGGTGTACTAGCACTAGGTACTAGGTCTAGGAACCGGGGGCCCCTACTAGTGGACAGGGAATAAGACTGGGTACGGTACTAGCTCGGACGGGGATCAGGACGAAGACTAGGAACAAGGGTACAGCCACGGTAGGGATGACGACCAGGTAGGTGCAGAACGCAGATGCTCCACGGCTATGATGAAGGAGCTTGCAGGGGGAACATTGGGGGGCCACAATGGATTATGGGTATGGGTATGGGTATGGGTATGGGGGGAGGCGGGGGCGACAGCGAGAGAGAGGGCGCTGTGTGAGAAGTAGAAGTACGAAGTACGGTTGGTGCAGGTGTGCCTGCCCCGGTTAGTGATCCCTGATGCGGTACGGTACGCTCACGACCCGAATACTGCGACTCTCTTGGCCGTCATATCAAACTCCCCAAGGGCAGTTGCGGTGTTGATGATGAAGGGTGTTAGTTCTGATGCTGATGCTGATGCTAATGCTAATGCGTGGGAAAGTGACGCTTGTCAAAAGTGTGTGTCTTCAACATCCAATAATGTGAGAGGTCGAGGGCGAGGGCGAGTGCTAGAGTGAGTGCTAAGACTGATAGAGATACGTGGTGACTAGCGTCCTTGTCTCCACTAGCCAAGCTTTTTGGATGGCACTACTGTGCACTACGAGTACTGTACTCCGTACGCATCTCAAGAGCCACGAACGACGCTATGGAGGAAGCAGTCGTGGGCAGACAACCCCAACCTCGCACCTCGGGCTGTGTGAGGGCATTCCCATGATGCCTAGGCACTCGAGTACGGTGCGGAGAATCGTTGGTACCACAACTGAGAAGAGTGCTAGGTGCCGAGTACGGTGCAGTAGAAAAACCCTCCACCAATGTCGACGGATGACGGCGCTGCAGCATCTTGGTGGTGGTACTGCACTGGACTGGTGCTGCGGGAGGAGGGCCTCTCCGCTCGCCACCACCAACTAGGAACATAAACACCACCACCAAAACCACAATGACGAGGATCCAGTATGTGTGCGGTGTGCGGTGTGCGGTGTGCTTCTATCCGCCGCCCCTGCACTCCCAATCAATTCATGATGCGCGATGAACGATGAGCGCAGTTGACCCTGGCCGGCAACAAGGAGCAGTGGGCGTTGTGACTGGCCAACACACATTCAGGGGATCCGCAAGACCCTTCACACTCCCTGAAGCCGCACAAATCACTGAATTCAACCAGAGGCTCCTGAACTCGGAACCTGGGAAGCTCTGTGGCATGGCGTCAGTCTACAGAAGTGGTGCCCGGCTGAGTTGGAATATCTTACGCCCAGGGCCAGCGTGTTGGTTCCGTATGCCAATCCAATCCCACCGAGTTCCAGGCCAATGTTCTCTGCGGTGTTCGCAGTACGCAACACAACGCAACAGTAGCAGCAGAGTAGAGTACACTACAGCGAGAGAGCCCGCTACCATGGGAAAGTCCGGCTAGTGAGCTACCCAGTCCCACGACGAAGGGTATGCTCGGGTATGGCAAGGCAGCACAAAGTCAACAGAAATCCTGGAATCTGCATCGTGATACTTAGTCGTCGAGGTCGAGTACCTATCAATTCAATTCACGGGCATGGCATATGAACCCCCAGAACCACTACCAAACGGGACAGATGACGAGCAAAAGACGCGGGAGAGCAAGGGGTTCGGTCTAAAGAGGCGTCTGCAACAGCGTGAAAAGAGCCTACCCGGAATGGAGGCTTGCAGGACGCCGCCAAATCGTGAACGCATGCTGAGATGCAATCTGGTTGTGCATAAGCCAAATTTCATTATTACAAGATCATATTACCACAAATAAGGAAAAGGTCACCTGCGCAATTTGGCTACAGATATCAGATATCTGCACGTCCATAGGTAAATGCAGCCTTATTACTAATGCGTGGTAGATCTGCAGTCATTTCTCAGTATATCTTCATTCAAAAGCAAATCTTTTTCGGCTTAGTTTCGCCTCAGATCCCGGCAAAGATCTCCTCACATTTGACGTCGGCCCAAATAGCTCTTGGCAGATATCTCTTATCTTTGTGAGGCTGAGGCTATTCCGAAAAGTCGTCCCTGCTTTGTGGCGTCACGAAGGAGCGTTTCCCCAGTCATACACCGTCACTGATTCAAGCCTCCAGCTTGCCTTGCTCTCTCTGGCTGGCTTTCCGCTGTCCATGGTGTGATTCAAATCCAGGGCGCTCGGCAGATGCTCACATTACGATATTGGGAAGTGATATTGAAAAGGACAAGGAGCATCAACCGGAGCATGTTTGTCGTTCACACTAGGTACGAAGTAGAAAGTTAAGAACAAGATATTCTCAGCAGGGACATTTTCCCCAGCATTTCCTAAGGTTTGATCCGGGAGGATCCTTCCGCCGGGTTGGTTCCGGGGGCCCGCTGCTTCGGCGCTAGCACCGCACCCACAGTGACGGATCCAGTCCAATGGTGACCGGGAAAAATACTGTAACACGATACTGTACGAACAACTTTCCATGGTAAACCTAATCTATAGATTCTATACTATTTCTTTTCAAACAATTGGCATATGTACTCCATAGGGTGCCGGTGCAGGTGATACCCAAGCTTCAAGTCACATGTTGTGCATATGACGAGCTTCCCGTTGATTATAGGAGTTGATAAATGATAGATTACAAACAGTTGGAGATTTGCGATGATACTCACCTAGCTATCCAATCTTAATTTTGATTTCCCAGATGGAAAAATCGGGCCTACTCTTGTTCAGTAAAAGAAAAGCTCGCTTCGTATCACCACCAAAATGAAAGTCATGAAAAAATGCCTTTCCTTTCACGGCCTGTCATTATTGGCACCTCCATCCAATCTGTTTTTCAGTACGCCTTGAGTCGCACCATCCATGTTCTTCTGACTTTCTTGCGCCAGAGCTTGCATCCCTGAAATGAATCGTTCGTCTGAACATTGAGACTTTCCCACGATTTCGTCTCAAATCGACCGATCTCAACCAGGCCCAGGTCGGTAAATCGTACTGTACCTGCCGTAAGCAGATCCTTCATGCCGGAACCTTGTTCCTGAGTTTTTATTTTTTACCATTCCCTACATTCTTATTTCCAATTCCCAAGCGGGTGGACAGCTAAGAGAAGAGCCTGCTAGTTCATAATACGGCTCTGTCCGATTTTCAACCACCTCAGCGAATCAGCACCTCGCGTTCTGGAAAGAGAGACTTTTTTTCACATATGATTTGCGGACCGACAGGGTCTAAGTTCTTACCTGTTCATCTTCCCTTTCGTCCCAGGAAAACTTCGTTCCAAGAATTGTGGGAGTTAGAGTTTCGTGGGTGGATGTGGGATCTTTTTAGTGGGATACAGGGGAAAATACTCCACTAGAATTTCACTTCTGTTACGCCTGGGACGAAAGAGATAATTGTAGCGTTTTCCAGGGGGTTTTTGTACCCGTTCTCCACTGAAGCTACTTACCCTTCCCTAGGAAAGTTCAATTACGAAGTAATACGCTACACCTGGAACTAAGTAGATCTAACATTGAAATGTCTAGGAGCGTAAGGAAACACCATGGCTGGTGTGAGCAGGGCCCCTCTTGTGGCTTCAACCACCAGATGGATGGGTGGATGGCACTTCCCTCTTGGCTCGCGGGTCCTTCCATCCCGTCCCCGCCTTTAACATCTTTGCTAACAGAGCTTTCCTGTTAGACCTGGTATGGTATTCTCGGCCTTCGCTTCCGCGAAACCTCTCTATACCCATCGCAGTATAGCGCTAGGCTAAGCATCTTTGCCACTCCCGTTGAAACATATAATTTTCAACACAGAGGATTCATACCCTTGGCGATAAGGTAGTACTCACACAAACTACATTTGTCTTTCGTTAACCTTGCCAGGACAACTTCAAAGTCGGGTTTGTTGTCGAGTCTTCTTGGGGAAGTTCATGGATTGAGAGCAAGCAGTGATGCCATCACACTTCTTGACCGTGGCAACATCCTATCTCAGCAAAACGAGGTAGAGGGTTTCATGGATGTGTGCCTTCCTAGCTTCCACATTTATGAGGCTACATCACGCTTCTTTTCTCCCCATTGGAAAGAGACTTTTCTCCACCATCCACTTTCCCAAAGCCAATTGATCCGCATCCGCAGAATAAGGCTCGCGCCAGCGTCGGGGAAAGAGGATGATCATTGATCCGAACGGTAGAAACCTTATCTAGTGACGAATTTATTTCAACAATGGCTTTATTGAGCCGTCTGGGTACGTGCGGGATTCTTGTTCTCCTTCTTCATTCAATATTGTTTCTTTTTAGGAAAACCGCTTCATGATGATGCAGTCTGAATATCTAAATCACCAAAGACCACCGGTCATCTTTGATGATGAGATGGAGGCGGTCAGCCCCACTGCATGAACAATGCATATTTTACAGAGTGGGGGAAGTCGCCAACGAGAAGTGGAGAACAAGTCAAGAGACCAGGTTCCCTCGTTGAACGAGCAGAACGCAGAGGAGAACCTTGCCCATGCACTTCTCGACAACGACGTCTTCAATTTGGGAACACATGGGGGCCAATACATGGCTGTCCATCGAGCTGAATACACTTCTCCACAACTTCAACTCATGGACCACGGAAACCACAGTATTTACACGGTGGGAAGAATACCCCACGAGGCGAGTGGGGGTTTTGCAATATCAATCTCGACCTGCGTGATCATCCTCATGAAGCACGAGGCTTGTACGAGCTACCCACATACCAAAGGGAAGGGTACATCCCGAGATATGGTTTTGGGGCAGATGGAAGCACGAAACCAAACGGTCGGCGACCACACGAGCCTCAATGTTCGCCATGAAAGTTACCTCTTTGGGCTATTTGGAAACCATACCGACATTTCTCATTGGACCAAAGTAACCCCATGTTTACGATTGGCGCTACTTCGTACTTAACGTACTTCATGATCCATGGGCACTACAAGAACGAGAAGGCCTGGTAATTGTCAAAGGGCCTTCGGGTCGTACAGAATGGAAAAGTCTCCACTGACTGTGTGGAGACAGAGATCCCGAAGCCACGCACCTTGTAGGACTTCTCACAGAATCGCAGTATGGGAACACAGAGAAAGAGAACACAAAGATGTGGTCGCCGACTTACCAAACCCTTGGAACGTCCTTGCGAAAACCAAAGGGAATAATCCCCCCCCCCCCCCCCCCCCTGTGTGGGG